AACTATTTAAAGACTAAAAGTCGCGCTGATAAGCACGGTTTCTCAATATCAATTATTGTCTGTCAATAAGGTCGAACGCTCTAAACGCACACCGCCGCCGCGACCCGGCAACCGTTACACAAAAATAATCCTTATAGCATGATTCAGTATTCACGTGCGACGGCGCGATGGCTTATTTCATGTATAAGTTTGGTGTTTCTATACCGATTTCTATGATTCTTTTTTTCTTGAATAGGTAATAATGTTAACTTTTTTAAATTAGGGATGAGTGAGAGTATTATAAACGTAAGAGTAAACAAATATAATCAGAATGCTCCGAACTGCTAAGCTATCAGGAGTTACACGTGTTATTGTGAGTCAACCATAAAAGATAGACATATGCTGTTGCGGAATATTTTTTAGATAATTTTATGTAGAATATTTCCGTCATACTTGATTTCTATGTAACTTTAACCATTAAGGCTGCACACGCGACGGAAGCTTAAAAAATGGAGTAACTTCTCCCGTTTTCCCAACATTTCCCTTCACTACTCTACTCCTATTGACTGTACCGTGATGAAAAGTATACTATAACCTGCCCAGGAGTATGAAGAATAATTCTACCAAGTTTCGTTAAAATCCGTCGAGTAGTTTTTGTTTCTATAAGGAACAAACACACAGACAGACAGACAGACAGACAAAAATTTTACTGATTGCATTTTTGGTATCAGTATCGATCACTAATCAACCCCTGATAGTTATTTTGAAAATATATTTCATGTACAGAATTGACCTCTCTACAGATTTATTATAAGTAATAATATAGATATTTCCGTCATACTTGATTTCTATGTAACTTTAACCATTAAGGCTGCACACGCGACGGAAGCTTAAAAAATGGAGTAACTTCTCCCGTTTTCCCAACATTTCCCTTCACTACTCTACTCCTATTGACTGTACCGTGATGAAAAGTATACTATAACCTGCCCAGGAGTATGAAGAATAATTCTACCAAGTTTCGTTAAAATCCGTCGAGTAGTTTTTGTTTCTATAAGGAACAAACACACAGACAGACAGACAAAAATTTTACTGATTGCATTTTTGGTATCAGTATCGATCACTAATCAACCCCTGATAGTTATTTTGAAAATATATTTCATGTACAGAATTGACCTCTCTACAGATTTATTATAAGTATAGACAATAACGAACGAAAAACAGTATGTAATTATTCAGTATGCAGATGCTCTATTTTATATTAAATAACTGATTTGAAACGTATGCAAAGTATGGGAATAAAAACTATTTATCATTATGTGGTTACTCGGTTTCCTATGTGTTTTATTGATAATTTATTTTGTAGGCGAACTAAAAATGGTGAGAAATACTCGATACATTATCAAAAAATAAACCACAAATAATAATATATCACAAGTGTAACCTATATCAACTAATAAAACAAATAGATTCGCCCACGTATTTTTAAGAAATTATTACTATTTCATGTTATGATAGATAGCATTATGTTGTGCAATGAAGTTGCAACTTTTTTTTTCTTCCTGTATAAAAATATTAATAAATTTCCTATCAAATAACATCATTTACAGACCTTCGGCAAATTTCGGCAACTGTCAAAACTCTAATTGAAAGTTTCAGATACGCAAAAATGATATGTCATGAGATAAATATTTCTAGTAAATATATTAATAATTATATAGCATATTTGTGTATACCAAAAAAGTATATATTATAAGCTTTCTAAAATGGTATAATACTTGTATAATTTTCATTGCTAGCTTACTAGAAAATCATCCTGAAAAAAATACAAATTATGATGTTTTCGTGATAATTTTTCAATCATCGTATTTAGATGCTCTTTACTATAAAAAAGTACTAGTTACATACATAATTTATACATAATATAGTAGATCAACTTCTTAGCTATAGTTTGAGGTATAATACAAGTACCTGCGCCGATTTTTACAAAATGTATTTATGGCCAAGCTCTCTTAGGCACCTCCACATAGTGCGACGGCGCGATGGCTTATTTCATGTATAAGTTTGGTGTTTCTATACCGATTTCTATGATTCTCTTTTTATTGAATAGGTAATAATGTTAACTTTTTAAATTAGGGATGAGTGAGAGTATTATAAACGTAAGAGTAAACAAATATAATCAGAATGCTCCGAACTGCTAAGCTATCAGGAGTTACACGTGTTATTGTGAGTAAACCATAAAAGATAGACATATGCTGTTGCGGGATATTTTTTAGACAATTTTATGTAGAATATTTCCGTCATACATGATTTCTATGTAACTTTAACCATTAAGGCTGCACACGCGACGGAAGTTTAAAAAATGGAGTAACTTCTCCCGTTTTCCCAACATTTCCCTTCACTACTGTGCTCCTATTGATTGTAGCGTGATGAAAAGTATACTATAACCTGCCCAGGAGTATGAAGAATAATTGTACCAAGTTTCGTTAAAATCCGTTGAGTAGTTTTTGTTTCTATAAGGAACATACACACAGACAGACAGACAGACAAAAATTTTACTGATTGCATTTTTGGCATCAGTATCGATCACTAATCACCCCCTGATAGCTATTTTGAAAATATATTTCATGTACAGAATTGACCTCTCTACAGATTTATTATAAGTATAGAAGATGAGATTTGGTTTCCCGCGAAATTCGTGCAGCACGAAAAATATTGATTTGTTGGAAAAAAATCTGAGTAAAATTATAGCTTACAAAAAAATTAACAAAATACTGGGTTTAAAACATCACTAGATCCACTAACGGAGTAATAGCGTGTTCAAACGTCAAAATGGAAAGTTTCAACGAGAAATATGTAAAAGACAATGCATTTTCGGGGAAAACTCGTAAAATTTTTCATACACTTGTGTGTGTGAGTCTCATAATGTGTAAAATGATGGAGGAGGAAAGAAGATTTTTTATCGGTGCCGGAATATAGGTACGCAAATTGTGATTGGGTATTTTTACCATAACTCGCTTAGTTTCTGAGCTATCAAGTTCAACAAAAACAGAAGAGAAGAGGTTCAATTTAGGGCATCGAAACCCGGTTCAATTAAGAAAAGCCGGGTTTTCGGCTCTAAGAGTAATCAAAACTGGATCTACCCGGGTTTTTCGAGTGTGTTCTTATACCTATCGACTTTCTACAATGAGCACAAAATGTTAAAGGACGAGAAAGTATTAAAATTAATGAAACAGTACTGTCCAAATTACAAAAACAGTTTTAATATTACAAAAGACAATTTTTCCTTCATCATCATATCAATCGTACAATGCCCACTGATCGGTCCTGCACCACTTGCACCCAGCGGCTTCCCGCGACCGTTACCGACGATCTACGCCGGTCCACCTCACGGGGAGTCTGCCCACTGAGCGTCGCGTCGTCCGGTGCGTGGTTGCCATTCAAGAATCTTTCCGCCCCAATTGCCGGGCGGAAAGATTCTTCTGTTCGGTTCTCCTCACTACGTATCCCATCCATTACCACTTCAGCAGAGCAATAACTCGAATCAATCTTTGGTTCTCCTACGGATTTCCTTGATTCTGATTCTACCGCGTAGTGATAACGGTATCGCTCTCTCTATTGTTCGCTGCGTAACCTTGAACCTTCTTATGAAACTCGTAGTAAAGGACCACGTTTCGCTTCCATAGGTCATCCCTGGCAACACACACTGCTCAAATACTTTTGTCTCTGAAGTAAATAGGACGTGGAGATTATACGTTTTTTTTGTTTATAGCTAGGTCTCTACCCCACTTGATGTTAAATGGTGGCAAAGTCCAGACGCAAAGATAGCTGGTGTAGCAGTTATAAATTGCCACACCAACCATCCTTACCTTGTTCGTCTGCAGGAATGCGTATTTCACGTTGAAATTTTCGATTTTGGCGTTAGAAGTTCGAGTTATGGTAAAAACCCAAACTTAATTTTTTACAGTTATCAAAACAAGTGCCTATATTTCAGCACTAATAAAAAAATCTTCTTTCTTTCTTAATTCCTTCATCTTTTCAGACATTATGAGAGACACACACACACGAGTATGAAAAGTTTTACGAGTTTTCCCCGAAAAGTGCATTCTATCTAATGATATTTTAAATCCGTTTTTTAATTTGATTTTTATCTAAACTACAATTTTACGCCGAATATTTTTTTTTCATAAAGTACTTATTTACAGAGTTATTCAGTAAACATAGTTTGAAAACGTGGTTTGAGAGTGGAAACGTAAATTTTTCAACAAAAATGAAAATCAGAAAATTCTTAAAGAACAAAAGTTGCTTAGATTTATTCAGTCTATCCATTGCTATTCTTATTTTAAATTAAATATCTTTCATCCCCGAGAAGGGGTGGCGTCCACCCCCCAGGGTAAAAGCAACCCTCGGCATATTGACAACATTGAAGTAGAGGGTAAATGGAACCTACAGACAAGTTTTGGTGCTAATCGGTGCTGTTTGAATTGCTAGAGAAAACCGTGCATTGACTGTACTATTATTGGCATAGGACCTACAAAAGGAAACTACAAAAATGGAGTTTCACTCACGAACAGAAAAGGAGCTTTCTTTTCTGTAATTTTACTACATAAGTATATCAGAGAATGCGATAAAGATAGCAGCTGTTGGCGCATTCTATACTTTGCTTTCGATTCTGGTTCAAAATTAAGACATGACATATAATATTTATGCTAAGTACTTAGCTAAGCTAAGAATTTGTCTTGTTTGTTTATTCTAATTTTCAATGGAATTCAAGCGCTATTTTTTGAGTCGTCTAATAAATTTAATGCTTCTCAAGTAACGTGATGCCTTATTCAATTGTTTTCGCAAGAAATGTAAAGCAGAGACAGCATCCATTTCAAACAAACTTAAAAAAAAAACTTGAAATAACTGCTTGAAATTCTGCACTGAAAATTTAAATAAATAAAGTTTCGTGCATTAACCAGTAAAAAACTAGTTTTATTTAAATTTAAATTGTTTGATGTAATGGTATAAGTATTACTTACGTGGTATCAAAGCACAGTTAAAAATAATGTACCAACTCCGATTTCGAATTTCCATTTTCACTCATTTTCTCACAATGTTGTTAGATGGTTGCTGTTAAACTGTCGATGTTGCAAATATGTGAGTGTTTTATAATCTCTGTTCAAAAATGCTGACAGTAGCTTTGTTGGAACCGTAAATTTTCGAAGCACGTTCTGTAGCTAAATGTAATAACAACAATGCTCCAAGATGCATGATGTTTTGCCTTTTAGGTTTCTCCTTGGAATTCTTGACCATTATTAAGAATTTTCGAATAATATTAATGAGACAATATGCGTTGTTCTGACATTAAGTATAATTATATACATGTAGCGTCGTTGAGGAGTGTGTCTGTGTGAGTGTTGTGATAAATGTAAATAAAAAAGAGTAGTAAGAAAAGATAATCTATAATTCGTACAAAAACTATGAAAAATTTTATGCACTTTTATTATATAAATATTGTTAATCCATAAAATGTCGATGCCACAGCGTTACAAGGTCACTTCTAAGCCGCGGCCGGGGTGGCAGGCCGTTGTATTCGCTTACAATGTAAGCGAGTGGTCAAACATGAGCGACCAATAAGGAAAGGCGTCTGTCTATGGGACACTTGATGGTCGCTCGTGTTTGATAACCACTCGGTTACATTGCAAGCGAATGCATCTTCCTGCCACCCCGGCCGCGGCCGCAGAACGCGTCTGTCTGTGAGAAACTTAAAGAAGTTACCTTGTAACGGTGTGGTATAGCCGCAGCTGTTTTTTTTTGTTAATATCCTCCATATTCAACCTTTACGACCATCACTATTTTAATTCGTAAAGGGCTTTTAATTATTTTGAATTCAATTCTGTCAAGGCTGTCATATTGTCCACCAGAAATCTTGTAAGAGAAACAACCAAAATATATTAATGTCTTTGGAAACAATAATGTTCTGATTAAATTATTTATAAGTATTCCGTACAATTCGAAATGTATAAAATATTTAAATTTCAAGAAACTCAGGAGGGGTTTCTATTTCTACTTTAAATATACAATATCAAGCTTATCGTTGGCGACTTATTATTCGAACCCCCTCTACCGACCACTACCGTCGCGACCTACCTACCATTTTACTACCACAATATTCAAGCTTAGATAATTCGATTTCATTGAACTCCTCCTGTTTGCCCCTGATGCACCTTCGCGGTAGTAGCAAACAGATATTAGGTAATAATAGTATTTAGTTCCAGATCTACACAATCTGAAAAACACTATGCAAAAATTACCCACAAACTTTGCCTTTAGACAGATCTACACCAACCATGGCTACATGAGTATCTACATAGATTCAAAATAAAGAAAAGTGAAAAATTCCCGTGCGATAACATTTCCATCCAATCATTAAATCACTTAATAGAACACTGTTAAATACGTACAAAGTTTCAACTATACAAACACTAACAAACAACAAAGAAATCCATATGATTTCAATCAAATTATAAAGACACAATAGAACTTATACAAACAAAAAATATATCCAACATATCATCAACAATCAAGAAAAGAAAGTAAATCAAGGCAAAACAAAACAAAAAAATATAAATAAAAGCCTACAAAATGCAAAAGACAAAACAGCGAGACTATTCTGTAAAATTTTCACGCGCGGATCCGACACGCGCGCTTCCCATATAGATTCACGCGGAACCGCATCGTATCCGCGCGTAAAAGTTTACAGAATAGCACCGCTGCTCGTAGTCCGAAGCGTGAGTTTGTTTTTCTTAAACAAGGAACAAAAAAAAATTTAACAAAAAAAAATGAAAATTCCAACTAATTTTCAAACGATCCTTTGATTTTGTGCACTCTCTTTTTTATAACCCACTTTAATTACCAGCGAAGAGAATAATTAAATTAATCAAAGGAACCTTAAGGTGATTTTGTTTGCGCTTGTGCCGTAGGTACAATATGTATAAGTATTGTTTTTATTGATTTATATTTACATAATTAACTAAATTATATAAGTATTGATTGTTTCAAATAGCCCACAAGGGAATTGGAACTTTCACAGGTAGGTGATTATAAATAAAACAAACAAATTTATTTATGAGGTAAGTATAATAATTATTAAAAAAAACAAAAAGTTTACTTAGGTACTCTATTTGACAATAATAATATTATATAAATTATAATCATACATCAACGATTACTAATACCACTACTTTTACTGAGTTTCGTAACCAAATCGTCAGATAAGTAGGTATATATAGCGACGACGCTCTCTCTCAAATAAATAAAATAAAAACAGCGCTCAAAAAAGGGGAGCGAGAAATATTATTACCTACATACAAAGAAATATCAGGCACGTTCGCTGGAACATCGGTTAAAACAAAGTTAAATGTGCTCCAGACTAAAAGCGAACGAGGCAGCAAGCTTCGTGTACGTGCACCTTCATTATTTACGAGTGCACATAATGATACCAACAATGCGGTAACTTTCTAATAACAAAAGTGCTAACGATGGATAGTTTTACGTAATTAGGTACTTAGCAACAGAAGAGGGTATTGTAATCGGTGTTTGTGATATCATAATCGTTTTGCAGCCTTTTCATGTACACTCCATGCCTTACTGCTGCATAATCCCCTTCTTATAGGTTGATCGCATCAGACGAAGCCTGTAATGCCCTTATTGCTATAGGCATCCACGGGTGTGCTTTAGATACTAAGATTCTGCCTGGCCAGCTCCCGGCTGTAGAGTATCGATGAGGATTTCATACCCGCTCCCCCGGCTGGGAGGATACAAAAAAAGACCCACTGCATGTCCCCCCTTTGGGAAATTGGGCCATGACTTACCACCGGGGCCCAGTGCGGATTAAAGGGTGCTAGCTAGAGACAGTAAATTTTTGGTTAGTGACCCGTCGAAATTTATTGTGGTTAATTTCATTGGGCCACAGCCCCAGGCGGGGCGGTGAATTACCAGGGCCGGTTTTAAGGCTAAAACCGGCCCTGGTAATTCACCTCTTTCCCAACTATTAAAAAAGGGAAAATAAAAAAATCGGAAAATGAATAAAGATATACCATAATTGCCTGATCCCTGTTCTTGATGTTGTTCTTCTAGACTTACCATCAGGAAGACTAAAATTTTGACGTATGCTTGCGTGAGCATAAAAAAATGTACTCATTCAGGTAGGGGGGAAGGTTTATCCTACGAATCTTTGATTTATCGAATGATATTGATCGCTCAAACAAACATATGTATTTGTATAATTTAAATCAGAACTATTACGTGAATTTTCTACGCGTGTAGGAGATCTAGTCAGGAGTACAAAATTAGTTGCACCAATATGTTAAAAAAACACTAATGCGTTTGGAAATTTTGTTTCGTTTGAAGTAAATTTTAATAGGTTTTCAACTTTCATGGTTAAATTCTTTGTTAATTTTTCTTCCATAAAAATGATGATATATTTAGAAATTACAAATAAGTACATACAACAATTAAATTGTGACAGAGTGCTACTTGGACCAGATAGAGAGTTTAAATTTTAGAACACTGGCATTTTTTCCAGTGACAATTAGTGATCGATCAACAGATTCAAATGTAGATTAACTTTACAGTGTGCGAAAGTGTAATTAAAGGAAATGTTGTACTATACAACCCATTTTAAATGTGTTCCATCAAATTAGCTTCCAATTCGTACTTTCGGAGTGTTTCAGAGCCATTAATTTAGAATTCGATATCTAGGTAGGCATGCTTTGTCACTGTCACACGTTTGGGAATTGACAAAGGTAAAGAGAGCATTGGATTCGAAGTCTAATCCTAATTCGTATCGTTTTGCGAATAACAGGAGTGTTTTCCACACGTGACGAGGGATGGAAAAACGGTATTTTAGAAGCGCTCCATAACAAATTTCAACTTGTTTTCATGATATTCTATTCTTACGGTGAAATATAAATATTATCTACAGGTTACACTACAAATATTTCTACCAAAATTATAATCTGCTCCCTAATCACATTTTAATCTGTTCATTCAATACGAGTTGATTGAACACAAAATCCCTGAACATTAATACTTTCATAGTTATAATAGTATTACTAGGTAAGAAGGTAATAGCAATCAATCATATTTCAGTCCCATTAATAATAAGGTTTGATATATATAACTGCTCTTAATCCAGATAATCTGCCTAATCCGACCACCAAACTATCGGGAAGTAGAACGTGTCTATTCGATCCCATATCAAAGCAGATAATTAAATGGTAACATAAATTTTAGATTAACAGACACCCGCAACCGCCTGTGCATAGAGTGATTGGTTTTCTATGCAAACTTTCATCCCTTATTTCACCCTTTTCAAGTTCTATTTTCGTGGCAAAATTAAGCTTATTAAGTATGTTCTTCTGCAAGGTTCCTTTTATTTCCATACCAATCCAACAACATGACCAATTCCATTCATCAACATGACTTTAGCCAGTTACTTTCACAGTTCTATATTAGTACTCAGGCAATATCATCATCCACATATTGGTATTTATTGGCATGACAATTACTTATCCACAGACATTTGAAATATCACTATTAAACATCCTGATGAGCAAATATTTTAGTCACCCATCATTAAATTAAGTAGTTAATATAACCGAACATGCTATCCAGCCCCTGCAACATCGCAGCGTAGGTACTTTTTGTTTGTGGTACATAACTGGTTAATGCATTTATGTTAAATTAAATTTCAGGAGGAGCTCCGCCTATTTTAACAGTTTTATCAAAAGTTATTCATGGGCATGGGGTATTATTTATATCAAGTTTCTCCGTGCTAAATAGGCAAGGCGGTTTTGTGTTATGTGTCTTTAGTTGGTCTCACCCAAACATATTACTAGTAGGTCTTACGGCCGCTTCTAGAGACGTCCGTGAAATTTAATGCTTCAACAAACGATGACTTGTCTTTTTCTGTTGCTATAGCAAAAAAATAATGAAATGCTTCAACTCTGATCAACGTCAATTTTAATTGCTGTATCTAAGTGCAGTCGTTAGATATGCATTGTTAGAAAGAAGAGATCATTTTTTGTCGG